CACTGTATTTGAAAAGCTGTCCCACAGAGGAGGGGCAGGATCTGCTCTCAATCATACATGGGTGCAGGACATGCAACAGTGGGCTCAAGTTACAGGAGGCCAGACTTCAGTTGAATATCAGGAAAAACTTCCTAACTGTTAGAGCAGTATGGCAATGGAACCAGTTACCTCGAGAGGTCCTATGCTGGAGGCATTGGACAACAATCTCTCAGATGTGCTTTGATTTGTATTCCTGCATTTAGAAGGGGTTTGGACTTGATGGCCTTATAGGCCCCTTCTAATTTCATGATTTCATGACTTTGTGAATCTCCGAGCACGAGTACCCTCCCACCAACATGTTCAAACAAGAAGCCTGCATGTTTGAGGCTTCTTGTTCCTATGCATGTAACCAAGACTGGATGTGGGGCCTGGCTTGTCCGTCTGCTACTGGCTGCAGATGTTCCACTAGGCTGTGCAGTGCTTTTTTCCTCTCATTTGCCACTGATGCAGGACCAGGGCTCTTTTTGAAAACTGACTCTGAGCAGGGTCTGAGGGAACCTTAGGAGTCAAGTGTTAGGGAGGCCAGCAGCAGCAGCAGCAGCAGCAGATGAGTAGGCAGGACTCTGCTCATGGCCAGGACAACTGGAGAGAGAAACAATTATAGAAGCCACTCCAGCTGTCTTTCAGTTGTCCTCTCTCTCTCTCTCTCTCTCACACACACACACACACACACACATCGCAACATGCACTGTGCCACCTGAACACATACACACACACACACACATTGCAACATGCACTGTGCCACCTGGCATGATTCATTCCAGGGCAAAGGAATCGCATCCTCACTGACTTCTTCTTGGTCATCCCCTTCCCACTACTGCTGCCACTCCCACAGTGAAGTGGTAAGCAAGCCAGGTTTCTTGTCGGCGCTGCTATTCACCAGCATCACTGTCTTGAGTGAGGGAAGCCTAGCAAACAGTAAGAGAAAGTGGGCACCAGCAACATGAAATTATGTGAGCAAATTCTGGACTTCTCTTTTCCAATATCCATGTTGGAAAGTGATCAACTGGCAAGCTGACCTGGCAATTTTGCCTCTACCAGCCCTTTAATCGATTGCCCAATGCATTGGTCTACTTCTGGCAGCCCCCTAATCTGCATCTGCTGTACAAAGCAGTTTCTTTAATTTGACATCCTGACAAAGCTGGATCTGTTCCTTTTATGGACACTGAAACAAGCAAAGGGACATGGCTGTTTGAGCTTCCTGGCTGTCTCTTCACCAAAGCTGTCCTGCTACTCACCTTAGCAAAAAGTATGCGTGTTCACATCAGTTGCCGTTAAATCAAGCCTGATCTTCTGCCACATAATGAGAGGTAATCTCTCTCTAAGCCACTTTGGGAAATAGAATGTCGTCTCCAAAGCATTTAGAAATTAATTACCTCTGGATGAACATTAATTATGACACTTTGACCCAGCAATGCAGCACAACTAAGTCTATGCTAATCTTAATTATTTTCAAATATTATGTTATCTGTGCGAATGAGAGAACACCCGAAATCAGCAGGGTGAAAATATTTTAAATGAGAATGACTAATGATTGTACTAGGAGTATCTTAGAGGCATTTTATTTCTCGGACAGTGAAAATTAGTTTTTGCCGTGATTCAAGGAATCCAAGCTTAATCATCCTGCAAAACCTGGAAAAGTTGAACTGTAGACATTCATATTCAGAAATGCCTGTTTCTCATTCTTCCAGTCACTGAGAATACATCAGATATCAGGTTGATAGTGGAATCACCACAGGTGGTGAGAATATCTATACACCTAAATAAGATATACAAAAATTGCCACAGCTGTTGATTACTAGGTTAGCTGTAGAAATCATTGTCTTGAAGAAAGACAGTATTCAAAATCACTTCAATAACACTGTCTGCTGGTTCAATAATTGTATTAAAATAGCACATTGCACAACAAGATTTCATTTGAACTAAAATGACCAGGAATACAGTCTGTCAGGGACAGGCAAACAGTTATGGATAGATAGTGGAACCTACAAAGCAGACGACTGAGGAGGTACTCAGATAAGCAGGGGTGAGCTGTAGGGGAGGAACTGAAGCTACTCTTCAGCTGTGGGTTGCTCAGGCTGAGGAACTTCATTTGAAACAAATGTTTTAAAGAACTTGGTTGAAACCCACTGGTCTTTTGTGACATCTGATCCCTGCTGACCTGTTACTGCAGTGTCATGCCAAACCTCTGTCCATTCAAAGTGAAGCACAACAAAGAATCAAATGTCAAGTGGTTCCCTGCTCATGCAAATTTGAATAATATCCAAATGAGTATGAGCCTTGCTGATTAAAATACCTTCTTGGAGGATGCTCTTCTGTCATATGGGGGAAAATGTTGTGTCTCTCCACTGTGCTCTGGATTGACAGGCTACTAAATAGCTGCCAATACAATGAGCTGCCTGCATATGACAAAACTCAATTACATTATAAAGATAGAACTCAGTGGATGAAGAAGGGAAAGAGTGAATAGGTTGCAGAAATACTCTATCTGGCCCATAGCGGTATTGCTTTCGCTTGCAGCCCAAAGGTTTGCTTATTCATCTGAATCATCTGGAGCTATCTGTTCCTCAAGCATCTTTTTACCCTTGAGTCTTTTCTCTGCATGCTGTGGACAAACATCTAATTTAGATTAAAGTCTTGACTGAAAGTGTGTTAGCAGACAGCACTATGGTCTTGTCCCAGTCCTCTGAGGAGGCAAGACCTGTTGATTTATTGGTGAGGGCCCCTCTGTATCTACAGACTCATCTGAATAACAGTCTGGCAATCCTGGATAGTTGTCTTCAGCAAGTGGTTCATCCAATTTTTTTATCAAGCAAATGTTTAGAGAAGGTGGCTAGGCTCCCAGGAGCAAAAAAACAGGAAGAAGGTGTGAAATTAGCTCACACAGTTCTAAAGAGTCTGTTCTGATTATTATCCTAGTTTGAAAATCTAGCTCAATTTTTTGATTGCTTAATTAAAACTGTTTTTCATTTCCACAGCTGCACCGTTATTATTCCATGCAGCACTTTTCAGTATAGCAGATAAAGAGGAAAGAGCTATAGTGTTTAAAAAATGACATCACTTTGGGGGACATTCCAACAATTTTGGCCCTTGCTGTTTGCATTTATTATATTGCAAAGTTATTATTTCACTAAAGTTGCAGACCTTGATTTTTGTCCTAACAATTTTTGTGCAGAGCATAGACGCAGGGTATGTTGAATCCTAAAACAGCCTCCAGGAGTGTTCTGACCTTGACCATGGCCTTGCGCTGTTTCATCTTGCATGTTTCTTAATTACCTTCTGTCTCAATTTACTTTCCATAAAAACATGAGGGAGCATTATATGCCCCAAAGAGGTTTAAAAGGGCTTGGAAGCAACTGCTGCAAGGTTTGAAAAAAAGGGAGCATGTCGAAGGAAACATTTTCTGGTAATGGCCTTTCTTTCCTTCTCCCCAGAGATAATGCAGGGCTTTAGAGTTCAAGGCAGGTTATGTACTCCTGGAATCAACTTATACAATGCAGCACAGAAATTGTGAAGTACAAAGACAATATGTATTCATTGCACTGCTTGTATTTCTACAACTTACAACAACTCCCTTTTGCTGTTTGGTTAAGCACATAATGCAGATCTTCTCAACAGGTCTTCTGAACGTCTGTTCCTTTCCAGTGTTGTTGTTCTTCTTCAAGAGATATTTAATCTGCTTCTATGGTATCTGTGGTTCCATTTAATACACAGCAAACAGCTATTGCTCTGTTAGCGTCTTTCTTTAATAGTACTTGTTTAAATGGCAGTAGCTTCCTGTAATATGTTCTGCTTCTCCCGTCATTTATGTTTGAACTTCCTGCATGTGCTGTGTAACTGCCAACTGCATTTGCAGCAAGTACAGATTTATTTCGCTTCAGGGAAGTGTTGTGTATGTATTTAAATAGGTTTTACAGGCATCTATCTTTACTGCCCTTTCATGCACATTTATAGTTGGTCAGGGATAAAGATGTTCTATAGAGATCAAAACTCCTAGACATTAATCTTAACTAGTTAGATTTTTTTTAATAAGTGGATAATCACAGTGAAGAGCTGCTTTGCACGCTTGTTCCATTGCAAAGGTCAGTTAGTAGATAATGAGTCAGTTTCTGAATATACTCATCAGGGAGCTGATTAAACACTTGTGACTTCCTGAGATATGTGCCCGGATCAGAAAAAAAGACTTGTAACCCCAGTTTCAGGTATTTCAATGTGCATTTAAGTGTAAAATAGCCCAGTTTATTTTTTTTCTAAAACAAAAATCAGAACTGCTGAAGACAAAGTAACAACCTAAAGGCACAAGAGGCTTACAGTACCTTAAAGGTATAGACATGTGTTGTGTCATAAACCTGTGTCGACCACAGTCCACTTCACCAAGTGCATCTCTGACTGAAGTGGCACTGTCCCTTACATTACATCCTGGAATGATTGACATTTATTACCTACATTTGCAATTGAAAATTGCCCAAAGCAACATACAAAACAAATTTTAGAAGACGTAGGAATGTTACTCTGTGGTGGCATATCAAGCATAAAGAAAAGAAAAATAAAAAATAAAGAAGACAAAAATGTTGTGGCACCTTAAAGACTGACTGCTATATTTTAATGTGAGCTTTTTTGGACAAGACCACTTCTTCAGACCGCACCCAGTGCAGCAACAGTTCGAACATTACAGGTGGAGAGAACACAAAGTAAGTAGGGCTGCAATAGATGTTTTGTGGAGATGAGGTCTGCATGAGAGAAAGGCACTCCTCAGGATAAGCTAGCATAGCCCATAAAGGCTTCAAAGGTAGCAGGCAACCATTCCTGCTGCACCATGAGACCCCAGGAATATCCTGACAAGTTATCTTGCTAAACCTGTTTGGTTTTATCTGGTGAGTGACTGACTGGAAGGACTGGCTTTTGATGTTATAATTTCTTTTTTTATATTTACTTGTTGCTCCTTGTGTTTGTAAGCCGCCTAGAGTGGTCGTAAGACCAGATAGGCGGGATATAAATAAATAAATCCCACATGTGTTGCCTCAATTCCATTATAAAACAAAGGCAGGTTATAACTACTATTTATTTATTTATTTATTCATTCATTCATTCATTCATTCATTCATTCATTCATTTATTGAGCTTATATGCCGCCCATTTAGACATAGTCTACTCTAAAAAAGTAAATAGGTAAACTTACCCAGTTTAGTACTCTGGTTACTATATAGATACTCCTTTACATTATTTCATTTGGTAGGTGTTGCTATGTACTGAACTGTCTGTATACAGTATTTGGTTACCAAATTCCACTGTTCTGCTGCAAAACCTTTCTTTGGAAACAATGGTGGTGGCAAACTGAAGATCATTGGGTCCTCATGGGTGAGCTGCTGACTCCATCTATCTCACCATGAGCTAGATGGAAGGTGCTGCAATACTGAGTACAGTACCTTCATGAGGCCTCCATGAGACAGTCCAAGGATATAAATGAATTTTGAGGTATGCTATTTCTCAGCAGAACTGGGAGAAAACATTCTAAAGAAACAGACATGGATCACTACAGTGGCCAGCTCATTTCTGTAAATTGCTAAATCTCTATGTGAGCAACTTGCAGTTGTTTAAATAATCATACTTGTGCCTTTGTCTTTTTTTTTTTTTTTTTTTAATGAAAGGACATAACTAACTAAGTCTTGTAGTCCTGCTCTGGAAATCTCATAGGTGTCCTAGTTCTGCCACAGTCATTTTCTATGGAATATTTTGCACTTCACTTCTTAATTTAAAACTATACATTATTTGTATTTCCAGAAGGTCATCTGCACAGCAGTAACTGATTTCTATAGCTACCTGATCCTCCTGAACCAAAATTTGAGCCAGTATTAATTATAATGACAGCTAGTCATTTTAATGTGAATGGGAGTAAATAAGCTGGGTCTTAAATCGAGACGTATCTAAAGTGTTGCAGATGAAGAAGCCTGCTCCTCTGGAGGAGAATTCCAACTGGTCTTAGAGGTGGACTTCATCTGAAATCTTTAGTTTGAAAGTTCACCTGTTCTGCACTAATTAAGGAAACGCTGCTGCTGCTGCTGCTGCTGGTAGCAGTCTTCAGAACTAGGCAGATCTGATACCATCTTAGCCTGGTATACAATCACCTCTGCAAAAAAGCAGATCTTGTCTTAGTGATCCACACTCTAGTGACATCCAGGCTGAGTTGCTGCAATGCATAGTGTGTGAGGCTGCCTGTAAAGATGGTTTTGAAAATTCTACTGGTAGAAAATGCTGCCATCCCAGTGTTGGTAGGGCCAGCTGGCTGGACCATTCATCACTTGCCCCATTTGCCAGTAGAATTCTGAGCCCAACGTGTAGAGTTTGTATTGACCTTCAAAGCCATAAACTATTAGAGAACACCTCATCCTGCCTGCTCACCCTCTTAGATCAGCAGCTGCTGTGGCCCTATTAACAGACCTGTATGTAAGATTTTTCTGTATCAGTGCTCAAGTACAGTTTCTGTGCTGTATTTCCTGTGCACTTGAAAATTCCTTGTCCTTTCAACTTTCATTTGTGTTTCTACCTTAGGATATTCCCACGGGGGCTGACAGCTGTGTCACCAGCCTATCATGTGACTCTCATCGCTCCCTCATTGTAGCAGGGCTAGGTGATGGCTCCATTCGTGTCTATGACAGGCGGATGGCTCTCAGTGAATGGTAAGGCATCCATCTCCTTTCTGCAACCAACAAATAATGCTTCGCCTTGTTCTTTTTGTTGTTTTTTAATGCCTTTAAACACATTAGAAATGACCGATCTAACAGGCCCTTCCAATGTTCTTTTAAGCTGATTGCAGTGCTTGATGATGTAATGCGGGAAGAATATTGAATGCTGCTTTTTCCTCAAGGAAAAATGTACAACTCCATCTCCAATTCTAGTGACTGAGTTTCCGTGAACCACTCCAGACTCTGTTTTTACATAACAATTTGCAATGGCATAATGAAAATCATCCTACATAAATGTTATCTGGTGAAGATACATGCCTAACTCTTCCTCCCTGCCCCACTAGCCACTTGCATCCCATCTTAAAGTCTGATGAATCTGAAGAAAAGAAGCCTTCCCCTATTGGAAATTAACAAGAAACATAGTCCTAGCAATTAATTTCTGTTGTTTTTGTTGTTGTTTTTGTTGTTGTTGTTGTTGTTATGTCCTGCTCAGCTCTCGCAAACTCAAACTTATAGTTGCTTTGAGGAGTCAATCTATCTCATATTTGGTCTTCCTCTTTCCCTGCTTTCTAGAGTTTGTAAATTACAGTGTGGAGTGGATCAATTTGTAATATGGCTCTGCAATTAGGCTTAGACCACAGAGGCCTCAATTCAAGCTCCATCTACCCTCTAGCACTAACCTTAGTCAAATCTTAAACTTCTGTCAGCATCCTGCAAACTATAGTTGTTCAGGTATTTACCTGTCAAACTGTGTGTGTGAACGTGAGTGCATGCCTGTGTGTGTGTGTGTGTGTGCGTGTGTGCGTGCGTGCGTGCGTGTGTGTGTGTGTGTGTGTGTGTTTGTTCTGTGTTGTCAAGTCAGGACTGACTTACAGAAACCCTAATAGAGTTTTCGAGGTAAGTAAACTATTTAAGGAGTGTTTTTACCATTTCTACCCCCCCATTCAGTTTCCATGGCCAAGTGGGGATTCAAACCATGTTCTCCAGAGTCCCTAGTCTGTCATACTATCCACAACACCATACTGGGAATCAAACTATACTTCTGCAAAATTCTGTGGCCTGGGAACAGATGTTACAGCATGGTACAGGGGCCTTTTAAATCATTCTGAGCTGTAAGAGAAATCACCTTTGGGAGGTTAAAAAAGAGGAGTGTCTGTTGGCTGACATGTACAGAGTTGAAAGGAATTCCAATGCTCCATAGCACATGCAACTGGCACATGAACTGTTAGAAGTAAGAATCAAGATAAACTGGAAACCATAAAGCAAGAAGTGGATTGTTTAAACAGATCAAGATAAACTGGAAACCATAAAGCAAGCAGTGGATTGTTTAAACTGTTTGGTGACAAAGAACCTGCAATTTCAGAAAGAGAAATGAAAGCTGCTCTGAAAGCACTTGGAAGAACTAGATCAGCAGGGAAGATAATATATCCATAGAACTATTTCATGTCACAGAGACTGACTCTGTCAACATTCAGAAATTCATATATAAAAAGTGGGATTAGATTCAGATGAAGGAGGAGTGAAATCAGTAAATTAAGATATGCAGATGACGACGTATTGCTGGCAGAAAGGAGCAGTGACTTCAAACAAGTTCTGATGAAAATGAAAGAAGAATGTGCCAAAAAAGGACTGCAATTGAACATTAAGGAGACAGAAATCATGACTTCAGAAGAACTATGCAACATTAATGCTGACAATGAAGAAATTGAAGTAATTAAACATTGTATAAATCTTGGTTTAATCTTCAGTCCAAATGGAGACTGCCGCCAAGAAATCAGATGACTCAAATTCGGGAAAGAGCAATGAATGAACTAGAAAAGATAATCAAAATGGTGTCATTGGATACCAAGGCCAAGATCATCCACATTCTTGTATTTCCAATCATCATGTATGGGTGTGAAGGTTGGACAGTAAAGAAAGCTGATAGGGGAAAAATTGATTTATTTAAGACATGGTACTGGAGGAGAGCTTTGCGAATACCGTGGACTAACGAAAGATCAACAAGCTGATCATAGATCACATAAAGCCTGGACTATCTCTGGAGGCAAAAACCTTGAAGCTGAGGCTAAGCATGTAATGAGAAGGCTAGACCTGGAAAAGACAGTAATGCTGGGAAAAGTGGAAAGAGCAAATACAAGCAGGAAAATACAGCAGGAAAAGAGGAAGAGCAAATACAAGATGGACTGATTCACTAAAGGACACCACAGGCTTGAGTTTACAAGAGCTGAGCAAGGTTGTTGAGGACAGTTTTGGAAGTCACCCATTCATAAGGTAGCCATAAATTGGAGGCTACAAAAAAGTGGGGGAGAGCATAACAATATTGTATAGATTTATTTCTCTCTGAAATACATATGAAAATTATTGAAAATACTTATAAGGGAGAACAATGTTTCTGTTACCTCCTTATTATGAACCCAAAGATGGTGGCCTCTTGCTTTCTCTTCTCACCTGCCATTTCCTCTCCTGCTCTTTGTGGCCAAGCCCAGCCTTTACAAGGGCATCCACCTGAAAAATATGATGTCTAAACTCATTCTCTGATTCAATTTTACTTAACTGGGAAGCTAGTCCCCCACATGCAGATGGTTTCTTTTGAAGTGGCAGTACAGTCATTCCTGAGCTTTCTCTAGATCTGCCTTGCAAAGTTCCTCTTCTCTGTTTTCTAGCCGTGTGATGACGTATCGAGAGCATACAGCCTGGGTGGTGAAAGCATATTTGCAGAAACATCCTGAAGGAAACATCATGAGTGTCAGGTAGGCAAGCGGGGAGGAAAATGAACAAGGGCCTCTGAATATTTATGCAACATTTTCCTGTCAAAAGATGATTTTGCACTCTCTTGTTTAAAAATCTTATCTCTGGTATATAAACAGCAGTGAGGTTTTTGCTCTTCACATTGGCATTTTTGCACTGCAATTAAGTCCTGCTCCAATATGCGGATGGGAGAAGAAAAGAGCAACCTAGTTCCTTAGAGCCAAGGGATTTGAATTGCACTTACAAGCCTGCCGTAAAAGGAGGTCCTTAGAGAAGTTGAAAGCTTGTCAGTCCACTCTGCTAGCTGGCCAAAAATGCAAATATAGAATATACTGTTCTTAGGCACGGGGTCACGGATGTGTGAGATGCACAGTGTTGCAGAGCTGGATGTTGATCTTTGCAGAGCATAACCAAGATGTCTGGCAATTGCCTGCATCTTCTTCTCAACTATTATCCCTCACTTTCAGAATTTTGGAGATAGTAATCCTAAATTTAGGATTGTGTCTCTAATAGTTCTAAAGTTAAAAGGGAGGAAGGGAAGAAACAAGCCAGACCAAGTCTTACTAGTGAGATAGAAAGCTTAAAAGAAAGGAAAAAAAAACATCAAGGGAAAGATTTCATTGTGTTCTAAACTTATTGCTATGCAGGATTATTTCCCCATCTAGCAATTTTCTGTACATAAATCCATTTCTCCTGCTTTGTAAATATGGTGTGGGAGCTCTGTCTTTATTTATTGTCCCATTCAAAGGACAGCAGACTATAGTTTACTGCCACTAAGCCAACATTTGTTTTGAGATATGCTGTTCCTTGTATTGAAAGAAGTGAAAGAAAATATAATTCTCTTAGATGTAATACTTTTCCACTACTGGAGAATGGACAGCAAATACTATGACCTTTGCTTTTCTGGTAAGTGTAGAGATGGTTCAGCCTGGGTGAGAAGAAGCTAGTCCCTTTACTATTTTTTACCTCCCCCACTGCACTTGGCCCTGAATTACCCTTGGTGGAGCCCATCCCCCTCCACTGTATAATTAAATATACCCTAGAATCCTTACTAGTGCTTGAATGAGATCTGCAAAAGGTGCCATGGCTAAACTGATGAAGTGCCAGGGTGTCTCAGTCTGGTGCCTGGTTGCAGGTCCAGCTGCACAGTTGGGATGAATCCAGTACTACGTTAGTTGCCATTATCACAGCAAATGATATAAAGCTTATGTAAACACAAATAGGAGCCCAGTTATACCATAATTAGTGAACAAGAGTTGAGGGCATTGTCCTCTTCTAAGACGTCTTTTAACAGTCAGAGCACTGGAATAATAGACCCTTGTGGCTTTAGACTCTTTGAGTCTTAACCTCCTGCACCGACTCCATTTGTATAGTTAAAGGGCACTCAGACAACAAAGTATCAATGAATTGCTATCAGATAGTCAGAGACATGTCAGAGACTGGTGTAGTGTCGTTGGCAAGTGCTGAACCTTCTGCCAGTCCTAAAAACTGTAAAACGTTGGGATTTTTTTCTCCCTAGCAATTAAGCAGATAAACTCAGTAGTTCTCTTCAAGAGAACTTCAGGGCCAGTCCAAAATATTTTGCTGTCTGAAGCAAAGAACAAGCCATACCATTCTGTGTATGAAAGCTGACTTGACTAATAGTTAAATCCAGTTCAACCATGGCTATGGGAGTCCCTCCCCCCCCCCCCCCCCCCCCCCCCCCCGTTCTGCAGCATCTGGAGGCAGCAGGCTTGCCAGGCAGGCTACATCGCTTTATTGCGTTGTTCCATTATGTGCTGCCTGAGGTGGCCACCTCTCTCCGCCAAACAGGGAGGGTGGGTGCTCGTGGATGATATGGCTTTGACCTCTAATGGCATACTTGACAATGGCTGAAAAACCTTTTAGTTGAAACATTGACATAAAGGATACAAAGAACACGGACTGTCAGCCATGGGGAATAATGTGATGAAAGTGATATTTGTTCCTTCTGAAGGTCAGTAAAAGCTTGTCAAGAGATTTATATACCAGGGAGGATGGAGATGAACAATTGTGCATGAAATCTGAACTCTTCAGTTCTCATAGCAAAAACGGTACCCCAGAGAAACCAGAAGGCTTGGAGCACCTTTAAAACCAAGTACATTTGTTTTTCATAAGCTTTCATGTGTCCAAGCACACTTCTTCAGATGAAGGCAGGCACTATAAGACGTCTGGTTTCTTTTGCGCTACAACCACCAAATCATCTCTTTCTAATTATAAGGTATCCATTACTGTTTCGTTCATAAATTCAGCTCCTGCTGGAGCAGAGAAGAACTTTGAGAAAGCATCAACAGTTACTAACCTCAGCAAGTAAAGGAGGATGGTGTATTCTTTTCCTTTCTGTGGTTAGAACAATTCCAGGATCATGCCACAAACAGCATCCTTCTGAGACTGAGAAAGCTGCTTATCATTATAATGTTGTTGGGTTTTGTTTTGTTTTTAAATTACATCTAGTAGCAGTAGGTAGGCATTTCAGATTTCACCTAACACCTAAGCCTCAGGACCAGCTATGCTTGAAACTACTTGCACAAGCTGAATGGTCCATGACAGTGCTCTCTTATCCCAATGAATCCTTTTCAGATGTTACTTTGATTTCACCAAGAACTTTAGCACCCAGAGAGCTGCTATTTAAGAACAACTTCTGTGATTCTAAATCAGCAATGGTTGCCAGATTATTTGTCCCCACTGACTGTACTGGAAAATTATATTTTTAATGGCACTAGATTGGCTTTTACCCAGGCTGCTTTATTAGATTTTTCTCTTTCAACTGGCATAAATCTGGCCTGATCACTGAATGATCTTCAGCAACCCACCCACCATCGTAATAGTTCAGTAGCCCCAGTGTAGTGACCAGTATTTGAGTTCAGGTTCTTTAGGAGGAATGGAGGACACATACTACACACTTGGTTCACATTATTCATTGACAGAACACACATAGGAAGTCTGCCCAGTTCAGTTCTGTAGCATATCTGGTTCATATGCCCTCAGATGGCAAAATCTTGGGGATTCCAGGAGCCTTTGAAAACTGCTGCAGTCCTGGTGCTGTCAGAGGAAGGTAGTATTTGGGAAGATGGACCAATAATCTGATGCAATTTTTAAAAAAGAGGAGCAGGTCTCGCCCCCAACTAAACTTGTATAGATGTATATAGGTTGTCCAATGTCTCCTAATAAATAGCACAACTAGAATAGGGGTACTATTTACTTATTACCACATGTATTAAATATAAGCATTAAAGCATTTTGTATTCATGTTTATATTGCACATATTTTTAACATATAAGGCTCCTTAAGGAATGTTTTATCAAAATGTTTCAAAAAATTTGCATGATTATTTAGGGGTACAAGTCTGATGCTTTGCAACCTTTGATTTTTTTTCCCACTCTCACTCACAAAGAAGGGCTCTCAGTGCCTCGAAAGGCTGTTACTACACCTCAGACAGTTTATCATTTAAAGAATGACAGCTGGTTTATTTCTGCGGATCTTTCATTTTGTAGCCCTGGAGCTTGGCCTTTCCAAATCTGACTGTCTGAGCAATATTCACTTCTGTTTGGTGCAACCCACAGGACTTAAAACATGCTCTGTGCTTTCTGACTGGCATGTACGCAGGTGGGCTGTAAGCTTCCACCTGTCAAGTACAGCACCATCAGCTTGTATAAGCTTTCACTTGATCTGCACACAAAGAATCAAATATTGGTACTTTCATCTTCCTTTTTTTTATTATGGCTGTGTTGAGGTTTCCTAGGCAATTTGCTTTGACAGTACAGCCCTGGAGCCTTTTCTCTGCATGAGTGCAAATACAGATGGGAGGATGAGGGAATGATACTTCCGCTCATTTTGCCTTCGGAAAGACTCTTTTGATCTATTGTCTTCAATACTTCTGCTTAAAGAACTCTATGCAAATTCTTCTTAGAATGGAGCTGGAAATATCAGTAATAGTAACAATAGTAGTATTGCTATACACAGTAACATCAACATTAACACCATCACCAGCATGGGCAGTAATTAGGTTAAGACAGTTTAAAACTAGTGCACCCTGCACTGTAGGTTACAATCTGAAGACAGATAAGACCCAGGAGAGAGGGAGAAGCAACCAAGCTTTGGCATTAAGGCAGTAGTTCTCAACTAGAAATGGGCATTTACTGTTGGTTCAGTGGTTTGTGCCAGTTCAGCAGACAGCTGAACAGGTATTTGGCAGTTCAGCACCCCACCCCTCGAGCAGATGTCCACTCACAAGCGACATCGTGCCTTCCCTGTCCCACCTTCTCCAGGTGCTGCCTGAGTTGGTGCCCACCAAAGAGGGTGGGCCACTGAATTGCAGAACACCTGTTCAGCCATGTGCCAAATCAGTACAAACTGCCAAGGTATTTGGGCTTCAACATCCAGAAGCCACAGCCAACAAAGCCAGGATTCTGGGAGTTGAAGTCCAAAATATCTGGAAGGTGAAAGGCTGAGAACTACTGCATTAAAAGTTCTAGAAACATCATACAGTACTGATTAAATCCTTGCAAGGAGATGTACGTGTGTTCATGGAAGGAAAATGAGTTCCGGGTAAAGAGACCAGTGAGTATAAAGGAACAGAATATTTGTACAGAGGAAGTACTACAAAGTGTAGAGAAGGGAAATGTATCAGTGAAGTGGATACACTCAGAAGGTAAATGAAAACATTTATTTATTTACAGAGCTTCTTGACTGCCTGAGTTAGTGAGAACACTAAAGGCAGTTTGCATAATTAGTCAAAACATAAAACAAATAATTAAAAAAATCAAAATGCATGATACCACAAACTAAAACTGAAAAGGTGACTTCAGACTGACGCCTGATAATTTAAATCAAAACAAGTTACATAAACCATAACATAATAAACCAAATATACAATAATATAATAAAAATAATCAATAGCAATTGTATCATCTCAGAAATTAGCCTAAGATGTCGCCAAAGGCCGCCTTAAGCAGTTCTGTCCTTACTAATCTTCTAAATATCTGTAGAGAGGGGGCTTATCTAGTTTCTGATGGAAGTTCTACAGCGAGGAATAAATAGAAAACAGAAAATAGATAAGAGGCTCCAAAGGATGGAGAGGTTTTATAACAAATACTGTAATAGTAAATTAATATGGAAACAGAGCAAGTAAAAGAAGTGCAACCAAAGAAAACCATGAACACAGGGAGAAAGATGGAAACTGAGAGATCCAGAGGGAGAGAATGATCCAGCAATGTAGGCAGGAGAATGCTGAAAGATGTAAAAAGAGGATGAATTCGGAGAAGGAAGGCTCAGCAAGGATATCAGAATAAATGCTAATAACTGGAAAAGAAAATAAAAGAAAGAAAAAGCAGATCAAATAAGGAAAAGACCCAGGGGGATGACTCACAAAAGTAAGTCACAAAAGAAAAAGATGAACTAAATAAAATGCAAATGATGTGAGAGAAGAAAGGAAAGAGACAGAGGCTGATAACCACAGAGAGAAAGTGGGGGAGAAATGAAAATACACAAATATGCTCTCCAACTAGCTGCACTGTGGATAAAAGAATCTAATGGAAAAAATTCAGGTCTTTTTTTCCAAAATTGGAATCAGCAAACCAGTTTTTTTAAAAAAGCAGAGCAAAGTCATGAAAGATGGAGACATTATCACATAGGGTTGGCTAATACATAAACTAGCCACATGTGTATACATGCCACAAGAATGAGATTAAAATGAAAAGAAATGCAGTACTATGAGCCTTAGCTGCAAGAAATATCCCCAGCAAATAACAAAAGTATAGCACCCAAAGCAGAGACAGTGAAAAGGGCCAGAAAAAACATTAACAAAATTGTAAGGAGAGGGGAAGCCAACTCAGCAATGAAGGTGGAAAAAACACTCCCAAGGCCCTCTTCACTCCTACACTGCAGAAAGCAGCAGAATGCTCAGGAACTACTGCAGCCCTGACAAGCTGTTAATAGAAGCAAAGGGAGGTGAAGCTGTTCTTGGAAAAATGCCCCCCTCAATTTTTTTTTCTAAATCCACCTACATAACAGCTGCTAGGTACTGTAGTTAGGGGAAAGGCTGCCGCCCCAAGGAAACATAGTAGCAAGTTAAGCAAGCAAGTTCCCTGGTAATTTTTCTGCTCGTGGAATCAGAAGGTTGGTGACCTGTTTGGAATCCCTTCTGGGGTGACTTTGTTGGCTCCTCTCTGGGTGAAAAGCCACCTCTGGTGCCTGTCTGGCAGTCACCCACAACAACCTGCCCTCAGCAGCATCCTTAATATCTGGGCCCAGTCACAGCCCCTGCTCTTGTCTGAAACACACTGGAGTTTGTAGCCTCTGGGTACATTCAGTTCTTGCTACATTTAGGGAACACACACTGTTCACTACAGAGCTAAAGATTTTTCCATTACCTTCTGTTAAATTTCCATGTTGGCCTTTAAGTTATTATATTGACATTCAAAGCTTCAAACAGATACACTGCTTTGGTTTTTGTGATTTTCTTTTCGAACTCAATTTATGGCCATTCCGTTAATGTGAAAGAAAGTCTATGGTTATAATTACCCTGAATTTAATATCTTAACCTGATTTGGAATTCTTTGCAGTTATGGTATTATTTCACTGAATAAGATGGCTCCCCCCTCACACAGTTCATAGTACAAACATATAGGTACAAGATAAGAATTCGCTGTAAGATATTAATGCAAATGTCTGCTTGCCATGGGCTGCAAAGAGATTTTTGGACCTCAACCCTACCCAGAAGCCAAATCTTGTGACCAGCCACTTAGCTTTGTTCCTAGGCTGAGACAGGATTTAGTTTAAGAGATGAGGATAAAGTGCTGTCCAAAAGTTGACTCATACTGAAATATAATTGTGGGGCTAAGCCCAGGCATTCTTGCTTGGTTGTGTGTGTTTTTTTACATTATTATTGTTATAATTATATTTTCTGTTCCCCTTTTTTGTTTACTGACGTGGGGCATGTTGTTGTTAGGTGCCATTAAGTCATTTTTGGTTTAAGACAAATATATGAATTAATGACATCTTCAAGGTCCTATGATAAAAAGCTCTGCACAGATCTAGGAGCTTTTTTTCTTAAGTCAACCCATCTCCCCTTTGTTCCTACTGCCTTCAACTTTTCCTAACATTATTGTTTTTTTTATTACCAGCAGATAATATCTTTAATTCCCTTAATTGCACAACAGAAACATTAGTAACCTTAGAAGTTAAAATTTATTTATTTAGTTATTTAGTTATTTAGTTATTTATTTGATTTGTACCCCGCCTATCTGGTCTACTCGACCACTCTAGGCACATCTGCAAACACAGACATCACTGCATTTAACCAACTTAAGTAATTACCCAGACAAAAAGAACATAGATTTTTATTCACTGATCCTGCAAGTTGTAGGCTTGGTCTTAGTTACAGAAGTTTCAATAAGGTACAAAAGGTTCTCAGAGAGTATTATTTCTTTGTTTTATTTGTATGCCACCTTTCTCCTGATAAAGGGACCCAAGGTGGCTCACAATATTAAAAATATTGTAGTAGAATTTAAGATATAATAAGTTAAACATAAGAAAACAACTAAACTATATGCTGATTAAAATACAATTGAATATTTAATAGAAGGAATTTATTTATTTATTTATTCATTCATTCATTCCATTTATATCCTGCCGATCTAGACCAATGGTCTACACTGGGCTGCATTCCAAAAGTTAAAAAAAATAGCACCAATAAATATGCAAGAATGCAAGATGTAAAAAAAATGTAAATATTAAGATACAGCAGGAGGAAATGCCTGCCTAAATAGCCATGTTTTAAGTTTGCTTTTAAAGACACTCAGAGAGGGTGCCAGGCAGATCTCAACAGGCAAGTTGTTCCAGAGGCAAGGGGCCACTGCCGAGAAGGTCCGGAATGAAGAAAAAGGTTAAAATAGTAAAAACAAAATGTGGGTTCTCTCAGGCCACATAGCTGTGAGAATGTTGTGGACATAAGGAGAGGTTCAATAGAACATCCTTCTTCTTAGATGTCTCAGATGCTTGTGTGCCTAACAAAGACAGTAAAAACAATTGAAGATAAGGCAAGGGACATCTTTACCCACCATAGAAGGAGTGTTAGTCATGAAAACAAAGGGGGTCATGCAAACTACCCAGCATGTTAGTTTACAAGCACTTTCCTCTCAGGTGATCATGTATTAATTTGCATGTTGAATTGTCTATTAATCCCAGCACTTTCATGGCTACAACCAGCCATAACCCTAGGTCTCTCCTTAGATGCTATCAGGTAGACAACTCAGAAGAAAATTACAAGGTATGAGAGAGAAGAGAAACAAAACACTTGGACTAGTGTCAAGATATGAAATTCTGTATGTATAGTGTTAAAAGTAATAAAATGGAGTTTAGAAAAAGTATCACTGAAAATGAAAGTGCTTTAAAACATGAGGCTTGAATGATAGTTTACTGTAGTCATTGCAAAACAATTAGCCAGTTCTTCAGCCAAGCAAGGTTGCTGTACCAAAACCATTTTGACAGTTGAACATGGTTTACAAATGCTAACAAAGTATAATGTTATTAAGAACATTGGAGTTTAGATATATATTATAATATTTTTGAATGTTCCTTTTTAAGCTATAAGTTCCTGCATTTTTAGAATTTAATGGGAACATTTTCATTGCTCTTTTTTGCTCTTAAAAAGGTAATTCTACTGTATTTTGGATTGAAATCTGACTTAAGTATTTGCCTGCAACTTAAGTTTAGTTTTCATATATTTTATAAACATTTGTGCTTACAATTTTTCCATAGCTGTAAGACGTCAAGGTGTTTTCATTATTTGGGAAGTATTTTTGTGCTTATGCAACATAGAAGCCCTGTAGATAAATAAAGCTTGTAGAATTAAACATGCTGATATTGCCTGGAATTATTAAAATGAAAAGATTTACACCTTGATACCCAGATAAATTTTGCTAAGATTGGAAATTATTGTCTGGGTTCAATCCAGAATTAACCTTTTATTAGGATAAATGCTATCTATAATGAACAAAGGCTTTTTATTTTTCCCTGGACATCTATAAAGTCCTGTAAGGCTCTCAGGGGTACAGTATTTTCAGGCATCAGAATTCCTGACCTGACACAAGAAGGATTTAAGTTGTGCCAAGGTTTAGCCCTGAGATCATATTCTGCTACCATACCTGGCTTAAGTCTCTGGCTGAAAAGCCAGAGGTTAGGAGTTCAATTCCCCACCATGCCTCTTTGAGAAGTCTGGATTCAATGATCCAAAGGGTCCCTTCCAGCTCTTCGATTCAAAGGTTGTTTATTATTAAATGTACCCATGCAGCTTAGGTATCTGATTCTTGCAACAAACTGCTGAATCTAGAGACCCGTAAAATTGCATAGGGACAAACAGCGTCTATTGTGCATTCAGTTGTTTTGTGGGTTCCATAAATCCATCCCCAGGATAACTGGAAGCAGCTTTTGGTCAGGTTGTAATATATTCTGTTACATTCCCTTACCAGCTATTACAAAGGACTGAGTATCAGTCAGCAGGATTTTAAGGTCTGCGATCCCTAGTGTTCATAGTTTCAACGCATATATAAGCTATTTCTGCCCATTTTTCTCCTTACCTTCTGATCACCATTTTTGATTCAGAAATACACAGTAGGTCAAATGAGACAAGATATTTCAGTTTTGTCTCCCTTATAAAATCATCACTTGGTCTACACATACTTTAAAGCATTTAACAGAATAGGCCCTAAATCCAGCTCCATTAAATTCAAACCAAGATGGCGCCTACCTGGAAGGCTAGCCAGTTTACTTTGCCAATTTACTGTGAGCTTAACCATCCCCTTATGCCACTATAAGGCATCTTGTCTAAATGTCTTCATATGCCAAACTGTTGCACACCCACCGGTCTGAAATTAGTTCTTTGGTACAGGGTAAAGTATTTAGATATGGTTCAAGTTACCCAGCTCTCATTTACCTTGCTTTAGGGAATATGAAGCACTTATTGGCCAGAGATCAGATAGACAGCAAGACCAGGCAAAGACTTCTAATAATGCCACTGAGCTAAAGAGGAGAAGAAATGAATTGATTTATATGCATTAATTCCTTATGTATAGAATTATACATAAGTGGAAACATACCAAAAACAAGCCCATATTTGTTTCTGCAGCACCCAGAGCCTTGGTGTTACAGCCTGTAATAGATAGGAGTGCTTAGCAAATATTAAAATGCTGCTTATAGCAAAGGGGAATCAGAGGTAAATTGAGTGTTGACATAGCGGTGTCCTAATTATGGCCAGGTCTTGGAATAAGTAGAACCTACTCTCCGTGTTGGCATTAGAGGTTAATAGCCTAGTGTTTTATTTGTTTGCAGTGTAAACGGGGATGTCCGTTTCTTTGACCCAAGAATGCCAGAGTCCGTGAAGGTCCTTCAGATAGTCAAAGGATTGACAGCTCTAGACATTCACCCACAAGCCAATCTGTTTGCCTGGTAAGTTCAACAAAAACTCTACCCAGCAACACCCTGTCCTTTAATAAAGCACAGGGAAAAGCACCCAACCTTACAAATATTCTTTTCTTTTCTTTGGCAGAAGCAATATAGCTTCTTTCCCCATTCATAGTCAAGATGTTTTTGTTGTTGCATGTTTTCTTAAATTCATAGCACCTTGGACCTGGGACATATTGTGGATTATGGTATCAAGATGCATTTTCCTTCCTGAAAGTAGCAAGTGTCCCACTTCTCCAGTTTTGCACTTGGAGTTCTCAGTCATGGTCATCCCATATGTATATTCTTGCTGCCCATGCTTTTGACTTCCTTCCTCTCCCTAAAGTAAGCATGTAAATATTTTGCCACAAACCTATAGTGAGTGTTCCAAGGTGTGTGTGTGTAAAAACTGTTACTTCTGCCGTGTGAAAAATTAGACTTACTTCCATACTTGATCTGCAGAGGATAGAAAACTTCTGCCTTTGGGTCTTAGCTACTGCTGTTTAATATTATCTGTCTGCTGAATTTTGTCTTTTCTCTTGCAGTGGCTCTATGAATCAGTTCACTGCAATCTACAATGGAAATGGTGAACTAATCAACAATATCAAGTATTATGATGGATTCATGGGCCAGAGAGTGGGTGCCATCAGCTGCCTGGCCTTCCATCCACACTGGGTCAGTCTCTTTTCTCAGCTAAAGAACCTTTCTATTGTTAGATAAAGAACAAGCTAGGGGCATTACAATGAGAAGTAAGGCCCTTATTCCTCTGTCCCACACTTCTGTGTTTCCACATAAATTTCAGAAGCCAGAAAGTTCAAATGAAGTAAATGCATTGATCTGTTAAATAAGCTCAGTTTGCTTATAGCCCAAATCCTGTTGCTTACTGAGTAAACTGCAGGACAATTACTGAATCCTTAAATAGATTTTGGGGTGTGCATGCACCCACTGCTTCACTCAAGCCCCAAAATCCAAAGAGGAACTCATTAATTACCTGTGAAAATGCACTGCAAGTTGCATCATTTATCTTCTGCAGATGTAAGTAGGCAACAGGATTTGGCCGAATATTTGCATTCTTTTTAAAATAAAAATTACTTGAAATTTGTAATGTGTTTCTTTTGTTTGCTTTGAAAACATCGGCATAATTTATAATTTTGCACTAACTCTCAGACTGAAAATACAAACGATTGCCTAACTTGATCAAACCCAGGGACCCATCTAATTTAGGATGCAGGTTGGTTGAGGATATTTGACAATGTATAAGGCAAAGTGACAATGAAATTGTGGTTGTGTTTAAAAGTGCATTGTAAGTCCAGAGAATAAAGAGATGTGGAATTTGTGGTATTCTTGGGGGGGGGGGAGTCTACCAGTACTGCTGAAGGCATGATAGAGTTGACTATCATTATAGATGGTGGGGTAAAGTAAATATAAAATTGTTTAATGAAGTACCAGAAAGGACTGCAAAAGTTTTATCTCAGTCATTAGAAATATCTGACAATCCTCTTCAGTGACCTGATCTATAGATTACTGTATTCTATAATCAAACATTTCACAATTCTTTTGACAGTGTCTGTGGGTTGAAATCATATGAACTGGGTGAAAAATGCAGTTACTTCACACAAGAGGGTTTTTTTTCTGTAGCTTACAATAATGTATAGATCATGCATTTGTTTTGAAAGAGAGACAGGTAAGATACTCATAATTGCAATGTGTACTGTTTGGGGTGCTAGAAGCTATTTCTATAGAGTTACAACTAAGTCCTGCTACTTATATGTGCAGTTTTGTCTGATTCTATTTTGTAAGCTGCTCACTGTGATTGCAGTGCTTCAAACTGAGCAGGAAGAACCAGGCTTGCCTCTGCTATTAATATTAGAATTAAAAGACAGTTGCATAACTTAAAAAACCAGGTGTACTGTCACAGCCATGACCTCCTCCCTTCCCCCTTGCAATGGGACACGGTTAACAGTGAGGAGAAATTCTCACAGGCAGGAAAGGCAAATGAGGATTCTTAGACCTTTATGTGTAAGCTCTTATTACACTGGCTTTCATTTCTCTCTTTCTTTCTCCTCTTCTCACAGCCTCACCTGGCAGTCGGAAGCAATGACTACTACATCTCAGTATACTCAGTGGAGAAGCGCATCAGATAACACTGTGTGACTGCTTTGTCAGAGCAGGACATCTTCTGGCAGGCGGGACCATGTCTCCCTCATGATGTACATAGTGAAACTATCGACTTGAATGTTTAGTGTTGTTGGCTGCTGCTGCTGCTGCTGCTGTGCAACCCCTGTAACTTGAACATTTTTGTCTCCTGATTTAGCTACTGATGGTTTTGAGTCAACGGGGAGGGAGAGGAGCTGCCTCTTGCTTTTCTTCACAGCCATAGCCTCCAAGAGCTACCAAAAAGGAGCATTTATATTTACTGTGGGTTCTGCCACCATGATCTGTGACTGCTTCTCTGGTTGCTTCACAATATGGCTCCTGTGAACTAATGAGACAAATTTTCTTCTTGGAAGAAGGGGTGAGGTTTCCTTTAAATCAGGAATGAATTCAGAACTTATCTACTGTTCCACATATTCTACCTAGAACGTCTGTGGCTGCTACCCATTTGTGCCAAGTGTTGGCCCCAGCAGTCATATGCTAGCAGGCTGCCCAGTCTTGGATAGTCTGTGTGTATGTTTCTACTCTATATGCCACTGACCACCTTTTCGAGCATGCACTGTTCCACTGGAAATAGAGAAAAGAAATTCATGGGAGTTCTAAGGAATAGAGGGTCTCAGTGCTGCAGAAACTACTACGGAATTGGCTGCCACTATGGAGGGGCAGACAGGAAACTACCGCAGTTCCTTGGTGTCCGTTGGGAAACTGGAGTGATACATAGCTGCATCAGAACATGTGACAGGACAGGAGACTTTCCCCTCTTGTGTCCATTCCATCCTTAAATTGCTCCAGTCATCCTCTCCACCTTTTGCTTGCAGCAGAACCCCATAAGCACAACATATGGCCTGCTACCTCCACGTAGACAGTAAGGAGTTTGCTTATCATTGTGCCACTGCCTTAAATGCTCCCACACCCCATGCTCTCCTTTTGCAGAAGTGCTATTATTCAGCTTGGTAATGGATGCAGATACTTGCAGCACACATCTGGCCTGTGCAGGAGTCCTTCCCCACCCTCCTTTGGACACCTACACACAGGCTGAGCACAGGGACAGCTGTACATACATGGGCCCCTGTATATATTTGCATGCATGTGCTAAACTGCAAGAGAACTGCTGCTACTCCTACTCTTTAGATAATGCTGTTGCTCTCTCACATGCTGTCTGTCTCCTGTACAGTGAAGACTGCAATGCCTTCAGAACCTAGGGGAAGTAACCCACAGCTACAGAACAGGTTAGGCAGCTGAGGGGACAAAGACAAGAAGGCAGGGCAGGGCATTGTGCCAGGCAGGTGCAGCAAGGCACAGGTTCCACTATCAGTGGTCCACAAAGCTGTGGAGAGGCGTGGAAATGAAGTCTCGCCAATAATGTTGCTGATTGTGCTAGCACGAAGAGTAGAGAACCATCTTGCATTATGGAAGTCAGTTTTGCCTTTCTTGAGGAATTCATCTCCTGACTACTATGAAGCCTGTTCTGGGTATATCTTTGCAGGCTGACAGCCACCATGTAAGGTGCAAGAAGGATTGCTCATGTAGCTAGGAACCTGCATTGCAGAGCACCAAAATTAAGTGATGGAAATAGTCAAGAGGTGACTTGATTACAGTTTACTGATCCCAGCGTCAGGTGTGCTGGAATAGGCAGCCTTGGCCCCCATTGCCATGCCTGTCCCTCTGCAAGTGGCAATGAACTCAGGGAAGGACAGATAGTTATGAGTAGATTTTGCTAACAAATGTCAAGCTAGAGTCTGGGATCCATGTATAACTGACTTAACTTCCACAATTAAAAACAAATGAGAATTATTATTTTTTGTAACTCACATCCAACACGTTTGTTTTAAGAACAAGATCCCTTGTGCTTCCTTTCAACTTCCATAGTCAGGACTATGGCTGTGGTATTCCCTTTCCTTTTTTTAACTAATAGTATCAGCCAGCTTTCATCCAGGTGTGCAGGGTGTGTGCGCTTTTTCACAGCTCTCATGTGGGGATCCAATCATGAAGTTTAACCGAGACTCCATTAAGCATCCTATGTACACAGTCACTTATCTCTATTTATTTTTCCCAAAAAAATTAAAAGAAGAAATGCATATGTTTGATAATAAACCACCACAAGATTGTAATGTGAGAGTAAAACAATTAATGAAATAAATGGTTAATAAAATGTAAATGGCAGAACAACCCCTTGTCAGTGGAATTCACTATTACTAAATATTTGGAGAATCCAGGAAGGGAAGCACAAAAGTGAGCAAGAGAGAGAGATTGAAACTCTCTTCTCCACACTTCCAGAGCAACTTCGTGCATGGGAGAGTGTCTGGTCACTCCATCCAATAATGGAGAAGGGAAAGCAGCAAAATGTTGTCCAGTTGTCTTCATCCTTGGGTAGCTACAGCTGTTTTTGAGTCCCCGTCTTTTAAAAATGAAATGAAATTTCATAGAGGTATGGTGTGTGCCACCAAGGAAATTTCACAGCTGCTGCTTTCCTCCATGAGATCAAAGGAAAACAAATGACCACATTATTAACCAGTTCTTGCTTTTAATAAAAGGGGGCTGACCAAACAAGTCCAATCCTTGTTAGCAAACATTCATAATCTTAAGCGTGATACAGAAGTAATAACAACATGCCACCACACTGGTCAGTAAGCTTAGAATTTGCAGACCGAAGTCCAACCAGGGATCTGGATAAGGGCAGTTATTTTGCTAGGGTGCTGTATGGTGATCAGAAGAAATTGGCTGCATTTAAGGTTATATGTGACTTTTAATACCCTCTCCAACCCTCCTAAACAGGTAATTTTACTTCTGGGTAGTCAAGTACAAAAAGCCATTTTCTTCAGGGAACAATGAGGTGGGGTCAAAATGAAACTGGCACAAGACAAGAGACTGAGTGGGAACATTTCAGTATAATAACTTGGCTGCGAGTCATCAACACATGAAACTGCTGCTGACTAGATGCCTTTAGTCTATTTAAGACTGTTACAAGGGAACTGTGAAGACAGAAGAGCTATCCATTTTTTTTTCAACGTGATAGTAATTTGTTTATGTGACCCTGCACACATATGAATTTCAGAGTACTGTCCCTGAATGTGGCTCACATTCCGTCCTTGACCTCTGCCTACATCCCAGCCAGAACCAACTACAGATAGTGATAGGTCTTTGATCACATTTTTATGATTTATTGAAGTTCCAGAAATGAGGGATTGTTGTTAAAAATAATGAAACTCTGTGCAGTCATATAAATCATCTACACTAGGATAAGAAGGGGGGCACGGCAGACCCTGTTGTTCTGCTAGGGCAGAAACACAGAGAAGCATGGTACTGGATCATATTGATACAGTTGTGGTGCCTGGCCTGTCTATGTGCCAAACTGGGCAGCAGTCATTTAACAGCAGGTGGTCCTGTGACTGCATTATGCTCATAAAAAGTCTGTTGCTGTGGACTGAGCATTGCCATCTATGTTACCTTTTACTGCACAGAGATCCAAACCAGGAAGAGAAGAGGACTGTTTGGAAATATTGGGAAGGCACCAGAAAAAAACCTTTGTGCTAGATTTAATTGTGTTTTAGTGTAACAACTGAGATTGTGGGAAATTAACTAGGAAGTGCTTGATTCAGAGCTCACATCAGCCAAGTGCTAGATGCCTTGAAACATGCTCCTATCTTGTAGCTTCAGCCCACAATCTTCAACATGGAGAGGCCACTAAATATTCACAGGGTTATTAGAAGGACAGCTCCCATTATGCTTATGAAATGTTCTGACATTTCCAAAGTACTATGTAAAATCGAAGTATTGTTACAATGCTGACTTTTCCATTTAAAGCAGGACCTCCCATGAAAGAAGGAGCAACTGTAATGCAGTATGTCTGTGAACAAACCGAAAGCTAACATTTTGCTTCACTGCAAAATACATGCACAGAAGGAGAAACAAATGGGGGGGTACTTGTTGTCCTCCCCCTTAAAGAAGCAGCTAAAGGCCATGTATATGAGTAACTCACACACCCCCATCTTATTTTCACACCGTGTGAGCTGGGTTAGACTGAAAAACAGTGACTGATTTAAGATCAATTTGGTCAAGTAGGATTTTAAACATGTCTTTCGCAAACTCTAGATGACTACGATAAAATGCCTTATCACAGTGGCAAGAAAAGAACTAGAAACAAAGACAACTGAGAATCTAGAGAGTTGACATGAAGTAAGAGACTATACACAAAACCTAAATCTAATTGAATTATACTTCACATGTAAGTTTTGTTTCGGTTCCTCCTTACCTATCAAGGGAAGCCAACCCAAATGCTAAAAGTTGTAATGTGAAAGCTCTGTGGATTCAACAAGCACCACAGAATAGTTGTGTCAAACAGGGATCAAAATCAACCATGTTGCCTATCAGGCTGCGTTAAGTCTATATCCTCTGCATCTCAGAAGGGAGGTGTCATAGGAAATATAAGACTAACGGACTCCCTAGATAATGTCTAGAACTGGCATTGCTAATACTTTGTACATATTTCTTGCAAATAGTATTAAATGTGGGGGGGTAGCAATATTGAAAGTCTTGCATACGTACAGTTGACCTCCCCAAAATGCAGTTACAATAAGGGACAAAAGAGTAATGTGAATGCCCAGCTTGTCTCAGGCTAAGATTAATTGACATGGTGCTCTGTTTAGTGGAAGTGGTTACTATGGAAACCTTAAATATTCTGTCTCTGTAGTATGTGTTCCAATCAACTGCAATGATTACACTGAATTACTGTTTATTTTAAACAAGAAGCCTATCAGCGGTTATGTCTTTTGTGCTCAGTCTTTGCTGTTCAGGAAAGGCATAACCACTGTCCAGTGGCTTGTGGCTGTTGTAGTAAACCTATAGCAATATTTTTTCGAGACCTGGTATATGGCAGAATTCTGCCCAAATGCTCATTGTGCTGAGGCTCCAATAATACTTCACCAGATTACTGACTCAGGATTGCACTCTGCGATTCTGCTGCCCCCCCCCATTTATTTCCCATTTGGTAATATGATCCGATGATCTGATGATCTCGTTACCTTTTGGTCTTCAAATCACAATCCCATTTATAAATTAGGCCATATAGCTGGGTTTCTTAATCACACAATAACAATACCTACGGATTCTTTAGTGGGCCAAAATACCTTTGATAATGTTTTGATGCATATGTCAAACAAAAAAGGTCAGGTTTTTTAATGTGCTTCTAAACACATAACCTGGGGGCCAGAAGTCTACCAATAAGTCAATAAAATCTGATAGTTCAGATCCAGCAAAGAACTTGTGGATTATAGCTTATTTGATGGTAGTAACTCTCATACATACTGTAGGTCAGTGGTTCTCAAACTGGGGTCCTCAGATATTCTTCAGCTGCAATTCCCAGAAGCCTTCATCACTTGCTGTGCTTGCCAGGATTTCTGAGAATTGCAGTCCAAGAGCATCTGGGAACCCCCGTTTGAGAACCATTGCATAGGTTATAGTGTGTGCTAAAGGTTGGTGAGTTGGTGCTGTCCAAAGTGCTGAAAGGACTGAGAGGCACTTCAGGTACATTCTGGAATGATGCTTAATGCTTTCTCTCTGCTGGAAGATTAACGTATGAATTTACAAAGGGCATAAGCTTTTCAAGGTGAGTTGGAAATAAATGATGCTGCTCCCTTATCACCACACTCTTCTCTCTCTGAAAGTCAACCAAACATACAGTGTGGTTGGTGGTTTATAATCACAGTTGGAACTAGCTCAGCTTCAGCATTCTGCAAACACCAGACTCCATAAATAAGTGTACAATCATTCTGAATCCTATTTGTACAGTTACATAATAGAAGGCAATCATCATCTCCCACATTCTAATATGTGGTCTTCATGTGGCCTGTTAACATCTCCAGTATTTTCAGTGGCAAGGTTCATTTTAATTTTTTTATTCATGCTAGTTTAGATTAATGAGTAGCAGAGGCTAGCTCTCCATTCCTAGCTTAAAGCATTTGTTCTAATGTGTTTCAAATTAGAGGTTTCAAGTATGCAATGATATCTGAATAAAGTGACTATCTAATCTTTGTGATGCAGGATTGCCTGTGTAGAATTTTGTCCACAGAGAAAAGCTTTGAAAGTATAATACAGCTTTCTTTCCTACCACCACTCTCTACCCAAGAAAAAACTATTTCCTATCTGACTAATTTCTTTCAAATATTTCATCAAAATCATTGAAATATAGACAAGGAAATATAGCTCAGAGGTATTTACATACAGAAGGACTCAGGTCCAACCTCCAGTAATGTATGTTAATAACACTAACAAGTAGGGATAGCGAAGCTCTCAAATAACGGTTGGACACAAACTCCTACCAGTTGCAGTCAGCATGGACAATGATCAAGGATGATGGACTCCTAGTTTTAAATCCAGTGGACTTCAGATGCTTCTAGGAGGTATAAAAGACAACAGTCATTTGGCTTTCTAGAACTGGAGGTGTCATCACCATCACTAACATCATCACATCTTCAGTGCTGTATAGCCCAAGGGGCCAGATACTTTAGAAAATAGGGATAGGAAAATAAGTATCCCTCTCCTTGATACTGCACACAAACAGACCTAATTATTACTGCTAGATTCAGAACACTCCTGTTACAGGTAGGGGATGCACTACAGCATATTGAGGCAGCCCTCTCTCGCTCCCCATGACCAGCAATAGTCCAATAGTACATCAATGCTTCTAATCCATTTTTGATTGCTGCACCTTAGGTCAGCAAACATAAAATATATCATATGAGAAGATACACATATGGACAGTCCAAAATTAACTACCATTCGGCATAATTGGATGACCCAACGTTCTGCCATTTGTAGAGAGGGAGAAGGGGATATCTTTGTTCACATTTCTACATAATACAGAATTTCAGCAACTTCGCAGTCCCCCACTCTTTGTGATTGCCTCCTTGCTCTGCAAAAAGAAATATTTGCCCTCAATTTATAAATAACACCTCAACCATTTCTATTTGCTCTCTTATTCTTCCTCTATTTTAAAAAACCTGCACATGGCAAATGAAACTACAAACTTTATGTCCAAATGTCTGCTCCTTTATGCAAAGTCTGGCATTAAGGCCATATCAAGATAGCTCAAACTGTTGGTTCAGTTGCCCAGTAAAGTTGCTCCATGTGAATGCTAGCTATGTTCCTTACACAAACATCCTGTGCAAAAGAAAAATAAAGCTATTTTTACATAATATATTCCTCATGTCAAAGCTCTTCTGCCTGCATAAGTGTTCCTTTTTGCAGTTTTTGTTGCACAGTCATTGTGTATGGGTGTGGAGAAGATCACTAAGCCCTCTGTACTGTCATCAGTACATTTAACAAGATGGCTTACAAATCAAAAGAGGATGTATACATAATAGCTGGCTGGATAGCTCTGTAGAGCCAGAGCTTGGGAGTTTGATTCCTCACTGTACCTCCTATGAGAAAAGACAGCCTCTGTGTGGTCTTGGGCAAGCTACCGGGGAAGAAGGGGATGGTAAACCACTTCTGACTATTCTCTACCTGGAAAATCCTAGAAAGAGTTACTGTAAGTCAGGGTTGATCTATGGCATGTTGTAAAAAAATATCAGGCACAGTCAATCAAAATTATAAAAACATTGGTATGATACAACAGATAAAAGTTTAAACCAAAAACCTAAGTATCTGTCAAATATCAGTATTCATTAAGTATGTGCGCTGTTCCTAATATTGTCATTTTTGTAGTTCTGCTGGTGTTATTTCTAAGATCTGCAACTGCTTATAATCCTGTGTAAAATTTCTTGATATTGTTCCCAAAGCCCTGATGACTTTGGGGACCAATGAAGTATGTTTCATCGACAAGCGAGATGTTTCAATTGCCAGGTGTCTGTATTTTGTTAGTTTTTCCAATTCTTTATTTCCAACTCGAGCATCTCCTGGAACTGCAATGCCCATGATCCAGACATTTCTTCTATTACTATTATGTCTGGTGTATTACGTTCTAGATGTCTATCATTCTGGATCTAGAAATTCCACAAAATCTTGATGTCTTCATTTTCTGACACCTTCTCTACCTGTTGTTTTTGTGGGTTTTTGGAGGCTGAGTCAACATTTGCTGTTAGCACTAATTTCTTAAATCTTAGGTTTCATAATATTAGTTTGGAGTGCTTATTCTTATACAGCAAAAATCAAGCCTTTGGTTTCTTTCTTAATGGCCATGGCCATGTTGAATTATTGTCAGCATTTCTCAGATGTTGTTTGTGTAGTGGCTTATTTTTCCAGCTGTTTAATTTATTCTCAAATGATTGTTTCTTATTCTAGGTGTTTGCTTCTGTTGTTTTCCAAATAGTCTCCATTTTCACTGCCTTAAGTAATCTTTCTCTACTTGTATTAATATTATCATTTAGGCTTATTTTTCCTCCTCTAGTATCTGTTGTATCTGCAGTAACCCACGGCCTCCAATTTTTCAAGGTAACATATAATCCGTCCACATCACTTTTTGGATGTAAATAATCCATCCACATCACTTTTTGGACGTAAAGTGATGCATGTTCATTAGTTTTTCTGTTTTTCAATCCAATTCTTCTCATTCATTTTGAGTCCAATCTATTACTCCAGCTCGGTATCTAAATACTGGAACGGCCCATGTGTTTATGGCTCTGATTTTAAGATTTTCCACAGTCTTTTTATGTATTCCTTTTCTGTCAGATCTTTACCTTTTGTGTGCAGGATGTTGTCTGCTTCTAGTATTCCAAGGTATTTATAATTTCCATCACTTGATATTTATTTTATTATATCATCATGATGATGATGATGATTTACAGAGTATGTTTCTAATTCACACACATACACTCTATATGTAGCATTTCTAACTCTGTTAAAATACAGCTGCATTAGCATGATACAAGTGGTTCATTAGCACCTCCAAAGAACACTTAAAACCATATATTGCTTGAAAACTAATCTTTGACACATCACTTGACCTGAGAAACACTCCCAGCAGCCCAGCCTTAATATGTGCCTCACCCTTTCAATGTGAGTGATCCAGCTGTGATTGTGCTGGTCAATACCTCTTCTCCTGAGTAGTGGCATTTCCTTATCTTCAGTCTGCACAAACACCTCCACTGTATTCAAACTACCTGAAACAGTCTCATTGCCATTTCAAGAAATAGCTGCACTATTAACTCTTCATCACTTTGAAGTCAAGGTGAGTGAAACCGAGGAGATGACACTCCATTACCTTAAAAAGCCCTGCATCAGGTGATAGAAGGCTTTTCTCCTATGGTAAACTCCTAGAGGTGTTAAATGACGCTATTTTTTGCAACTTTTTTCAGCAACACCTGGAAGGTGGGACTTCCAGGGGCTGTGGAGAATGACTTGGAGGTTTAACAAAGCTTTCCATTTATTAAGGACAATTTAAAAACGGTCACAATAAATAAGACCACCATTAGTGCTTATAGATAGTGCAGTATAGGGAGGAGATATGATACAGAATAATTCAGTAGAAAGACAGTAGGAACATGCAACGTACAAATGTTTTTTCATTACTGGAAATTACTGCCACCCAGCTCAGCAGACTTCATTGAAGCTTAAACCCCAACATATTAAAAAGATGTTCATCATTCCCCGATAGGGAATGCTTTGGATCATTATGAAAAAATCCATAGTTAGGCATCCTTCAGTCTCGAAAGACTATGGTAACGTGCTCTGTATGAAGGACTTGGAACAGCATCTAGTGTGGCTGAGAAGGCCAATTCAAGAGTGACAATCCCTTCCACACTTAGGACAAATACAATCTGTACCCCGTCTAGCTCTATGATTTTGCTGCTTTTGTGACTGCCTCTTTGCCTCAGCCTGCTGGGCGAGGGTCTCTTCAAATTGGGAGAGGCCATGATGTACTGCCTGCCTCCAGGCTGAACGCTCGGATGTCAGGGTTTCCCATCTGTTGAGGTCTATTCCTAAGGCCTTCAGATCCTGCTTGCAGAAAAAATAGAATTTTAAAAAACTACCACAAATTATGCAGTCCAGTTTCCCACGTTTGGGGAAAGCGCAGCAGGGATCAGCACATCCAGAGTGCGATGGATGAGCCTCACTCTGCGAAAACCTCCTTCATGATCAAGATATGTTCCCTCCCAGGGAAAATGACTTGGGGGTTGCAAGGAATTCTGGAGCCAGACTTTGGCCACCTCTGATCTTATAAATCTTAGAGTGCCTGAGGGAAAATAAGACACAAGGTATTCCTAAAGAAAACCTGGTCCACAAGCTGTGGAAGAATTCAAAAAATCATGACTGGTATGTGGAATCTGGATCAGGAGATGAACAGTTGATCAATCTAGTTATTTAAGAAAGAGTGTGTATGTCAAATAGCATTTATTATTTATTGCTTTGTCATTAATTTCCTTTTATGCTATTCAATATACAATACATTTGTTTCTAGCATATATTTTTTATTCCTTCCATGTACGTCTTCCTCTGCACTTCTCTTCTCCTTGCTGCCTCTCCCTCAGGGCCAATTCATTCTGAAGTGCTGCCTATACTTTTCATGCTATGTGACAAATCCAGATGTCTATTTTGTTGTGTTTAATGAGCTCTGCGCAGTTCTGCTAAAGATCATGCATCAAGCTAAAATGTTGGCAAATTCTACTAAGGTACAGAGTCATATCCAATGATGTCTTTGCAATGCAAAGAACCCATTTCACCTACTGCTCACACCTACTGCAGCTTTGTAACATGTGCCATGTTATTTTGTAAAATCTGTGCCCCTCAGTACTAGCTCTTTGTGTGACACAAATTTTGGCCCCAAAGAAGGAACAATGAAACATTTTATTCTTACTCACCCACCTACTCACGATACAACTGGATCAAAAGGTAAGCCATTATTTGCTATCTGACCAATCTCAGAATTGCTCTCATTTCAGTAGGGTGGATCTTTTTTTTATTATTATTTCTTCCCTTTAGGCAGCTGCAGATCTTATTTTGCATTACACCTTGGAAGCCAGTGGATTGTCTGCTTGAGTACTTGTGCCATGGATGTCTGAGTCTCTCTTGTGGATTTGAGTGGCATAAGTCACAGTAACACTAGGAATAGGAGCAAATATTTCTTCCCACTTCTTTGTACTTTATCCTTTTTAATGCCTGCTACTGCTGGCTTTTATTTTTACAGCACTTTGCCTTCTTCTTTGCTTATGGTGCAGGACTGTGTTCCAGACAGGGTGCATGGCAAATGTGACACACAAAGCAGTGACCAGGTACTCTACCTACTCCGGCAGCAAAGCTACTAAGCAGGAGTATTTCCCCCCCCCCAAAAAAATTTCCCTCATGTGCTACGCTTTATTTCCTTGGGCCTTGGGTGGGACACTTTTCAAATCTGTCATCTAAAAGGCTTCTGCATTGCTGCTGTGATGTTGCTTTACAACACAACCTCCCCACAAG